GGAAAAAATCGGGGGAAAAATTGGGGGGAAAATGGGGAAAAAAATCGGGGGAAAAAAATCGGGGGGAAAATTGGGGGAAAAATCTGGGGAAAAATGGGGAAAATCAGGGGGAAAAATGGGGAAAAAATCGGGAGGAAAATGGGGAAAATCAGGGGAAAAAATCAGGGGGAAAATGGGGAAAAAATCAGGGGGAAAATGGAGAAAAAATCAGGGGGGAAATGGGGAAAGAATGGGGGGGAAAATGGGAAAAATCGGGGGGAAAATCGGGGGGAAAATGGGGGGAGAAAATGGGGAAAAATCGGGGGGAAAATGGGGAAAAATGGGGAAAAAATTTGGGGGAAATGGGGAAAAATGGGGAAAAAATCGGGGGGAAATGGGGAAAATTGGGGGAAAAATGGGGGAAAAAATCGGGGGGAAAATCGGGGAAAAAATTGGGGGAAATGGGGAAAAAATCCGGAGGACAATGGGGAAAAAATCGGGGGGAAAATCGGAAAAATAGGGGGAAAAACAGGGAAAAAATCAGGGAAAAATCAGTGGCGAAAATGGGGAAAATTGGTGGAAAAAATGTGGGGCAAAATGGGGAAAATCGGGGGGAAAATGGGGAAAAACGGGGGAAAGAATCGGGGGAAAAATGGGGAAAAAATCAGGGAAGAAATCAGTAGGAAAATGGGGGAAATGGGGGGCAAAAATGGGGAAAAAATCAGGGGGAAAATGGGGAAAATTGGGGTAAAAATCTGGGGCAAAATGGGGAAAATCGAGGGAACAATGGGGAAAAAAATCGGGGGGAAATTGGGGAAAATTGGGGGAAAAATCTGGGGCAAAACGGGGAAAAAATCCGGTACCCAAAATGTACCCAAAATGTACCAAAAATGTACCCAAAATGGCCCCAAAATGGCCCCAAAATGGCCCCAAAATGGCCCCAAAATGGCCCCAAAATGGCCCCAAAATGGCCCCAAAATGGCCCCAAAATGGCCCCAAAATGGCCCCAAAATGGCCCCAAAATGGCCCCAAAATGGCCCCAAAATGGCCCCAAAATGGCCCCAAAATGGCCCCAAAATGGCCCCAAAATGGCCCCAAAATGGCCCCAAAATGGCCCCAAAATGGCCCCAAAATGGCGCCGGGCCGGGCCGGGCCCCCAGCGCCCCCAACCAGCTGCGGCTGCAGCTGCAGCAGCGCCTGCAGGGCCAGCAGCAGGTGAGAGACCAAATGTACCCAAATGTACCCAAAATGTACCCAAAATTACCCGAAATGTACCCAAAAATACCCGAAATAGCCCCAAAATGGCGCCGGGCTGGGCCGGGCCCTGAGCGCCCCCAGGCGGCTGCGGCCCAAAACCAACCAAAATATCCCCAAAATAGCCTCAAAATAGCCCCAAAATATCCCCAAAGAACCCCAAAACATTCTCACAAAAATACACAAAATAGCCCCAAAATATCCCCAAAAAAGCCCCAAAATATTCCCAAAAAATGCCCAAAATAGCCCCAAAAAAGCCCCAAAAGAGCCCCAAAAAAACCCCAAAATATCTCCAAAAAATACCCAAAATAGCCCCAAAATAGCCCCAAAATAGCCCCAAAAATAGCAAAAATAACCCCAAAATAGCCCCAAAATACCCCCAAAAGATACCCAAAATAGTCCTGAAGTATTTCCAAAAAATACCCAAAATATCCCTAAAACAGCCCCAAAATATCCCCAAAAAATACCCAAAATATCCCCAGAATAGCCCCGAAATATCCCCAAAATATTCCCTAAAAATACCCAAAATATCCCCCAAAATACCCAAAATAGCCCCAAAATACCCCCAAAAGAGCCCCAAAAAATAGCCCCTAAATATCCCCTAAACAGCCCCAAAATGCCCAAAACCCCATACATACCCCATAAAAACCATTCCCAAAATATCCCCCAAAATACCCAAAATAGCCCCAAAATAGCCCCAAAAGAGCCCCAAAAAATAGCCCCTAAATATCCCCTAAACAGCCCCAAAATGCCCAAAGCCCCATATATACCCCATAAAAACCTCATTAAACCCCACAAACCCCATTAAAACCCCGTAAAATGCCCTAAAAACCCCCAAAAACCCCATGAAAACCCCATAAAGCCCCATAAAAAAACCCCATTAAAATCCCCATAAAAGCCCCATTAAATCCATAAAAACCCATTACGCCCTGCTCAAAACCCCATAAAACCCCATAAAAACCTCACTTAATCCCCCAAAATCCCATAAAACCTTAAACCCCATAAAAACCCCATAAAACCCCCCAAAACCCCATAAAAACCCCATAAAGCCCCATAAAAACCCCATAAAAACCCCCCAAAACCCCATAAAAACCCCATAAAACCCCATAAATACCTCACTAAACCCCATAAAAACCTCACTTAATCCCCCAAAATCCCATAAAACCCCATAAAACCCTGTAAAAACCCGATAAAAACCCCATAAAGCCCCATAAGCCCACGGCGTTGCTTGGTTGCAGTTGCTGCAGCAGAACCGGCAGGCGGCGCTGCTCGGACACTTCGGGGCCCCCGTGGGGCTCTCGCTGCGCGCCGGGATCCCGCAGCAGCCGCAGCCGCAGGTAACGGGGGGAATTTGGGGTTTGTTTGGGGTTTGTTTGGGGTTTGGGATAGGTTTGGGGTCTGGGATGGGTTTGGGGTTTGGGCTCTCGCTGCGCGCCGGGATCCCGCAGCAGCCGCAGGCAACGGGGGAATTTGGGGTTTGTTTGGGGTTTGGGATAGGTTTGGGGGCTGGGATGGGTTTGGGGTTTGGGCTCTCGCTGCGCGCCGGGATCCCGCAGCAGCCGCAGGTAACGGGGGAATTTGGGGTTTTTTGGGGTTTGTTTGGGGTTTGGGGTTTGTTTGGGGTGTTTGGGGTCTGGGATGGGTTTGGGGTCTGGGATGGGTTTGGGGTTTGGGCTCTCGCTGCGCGCTGGGATCCCCCAGCAGCAGCAGCCACAGGTAATGGGGGAATTTGGGGTTTTATGGGGTTTTTGTGGGGTTTGGGGTTTGTTTGGGGTGGTTGGGGTCTGGGATGGGTTTGGGGTCTGGGATGGGTTTGGGGTTTGGGCTCTCGCTGCGCGCCGGGATCCCGCAGCAGCAGCCCCAGGTAACGGTGCCGGGATCCCCCACCAGGAACAGCCACAGGTAATGGGGGAATTTGGGGTTTTATGGGGTTTTTGTGGGGTTTGTTTGGGGTGTTTGGGGTGTTTGGGATGGGTTTGGGGTTTGGGCTCTCGCTGCGCGCCGGGATCCCGCAGCAGCAGCCCCAGGTAACGGTGGCTTTATGGGGTTTTTATGGGGTTTTTATGGGGTTTTGGGGTGTTTGGGGTTTGTTTGGGGTCTTTGGGGTTTAGTGGTTTTGGGGTTTGGGCTCTCGCTCACGGGTTTTGGGGTGTTTGGGGTTTGTTTGGGGTCTGGGATGGGTTTGGGGTCTGGGCTCTCGCTGCCCGCTGGGGTCCCGCAGCAGCAGCAGCCGCAGGTAAAGTTTTAGGGATGGATTTTTCCTTTGGGAATTGTGGTGTGGGATTTGGGATGGGTTTTAGGGGTGGCTTTTAGGGATGGATTTTTTCTTTGGGAGTTGTGGTTTGGGATTTGGGATAGATTTCAGGGACACATTTTTGATTTGGGATTTGGGGTTTGTGATAACTTTTAAGGATGGATTTTTCCTTTGGGAATTGTGGTTTGGGATTCGGGACAGGTTTTAGGGACGCATTTTTCCTTTGGGATTCGTTGTTTGACATTTTCCTTCCTCCACCTGCGAACCGCGAAACGCCCTCTGCGAACCCCACCGGGGGCACAATTCCGGGGTGAAATTTTGGGATTTTTTTTTTTTTGGGGGGTAACCTGCGGAATTCCCTCCCCGCAGCCCCCCCTGAACGCGCAGATGCTGGCGCAGCGGCAGCGGGAGCTCTACAGCCAGCAGCACCGGCAGCGGCAGCTGATGCAGCAGCGCGCGCTCCTCATGCGCCAGCAGCAGCAGCAGCAGCAGCAGCAGCAGAATTTCGGGAATTCCGCCATGGGAACGCCGCTGGGAACGCCGCGGCTGCCGCAGGGCGGGGCGCAGCAGTTCCCGTTCCCCCCCGGTTACGGTACGAGCGGCGGCGGCGCCGGCGGCTTCGGCGGCCCCGAGGCGGCGGCGCTGGGGAGCCGCGGGGGCCTGGGCGGCCGAGGGATGATGGCAGCGCCCTTCGGAGCCGGGATGGGCCCCGCCGGAATGCAGCAGAACCTCTTCCAGTACTCGGGGGCAGGTACGGGGCACGGGGGGGTTCGGG